TCCCCAAAGTCGGCCGCTGCTAAAACTGAGTTGCTCTGCCCCAGGCTTCCTGGAATCAGCCGCTGATCAGTTTCAGCAGCAGCTGACGTGGGGACGCCTGGGGTTCTTAAGTTGAATCTGTATGTAAGAACTTGTGTCCAGATTCAGCCTGTTGAAACTGATCAGCAGCTGATTCCAGGAAGCCCGGGGCAGAGCAACTCTGCCTCGGGCTTCCTGTAGTCAGCCGCTGGTCAGTTTCAGCAGCGGCTGAATCTGGATGCCAGTTCCGACTTACATACAGATTCAACTTAAGAACAAACCTACAGTCCCTATCTTGTACGTAACCCGGGGACTGCCTGTAATAGAAGATACCAGTCAGTGTAAATATTAGGTTGTTTGTGGCCCTGATTTCTAAATTGGAAAGTTTTAGCTATATGAAGTCAGCCGCTGGTCAGTTTCAGCAGCGGCTGAATCTGGATGCCAGTTCCGACTTACATACAGATTCAACTTAAGAACAAACCTACAGTCCCTATCTTGTACGTAACCCGGGGACTGCCTGTAATAGAAGATACCAGTCAGTGTAAATATTAGGTTGTTTGTGGCCCTGATTTCTAAATTGGAAAGTTTTAGCTATATGAAAGGTAATGGTGGGGAAGCTTACAATGTATTCTGAGATGGATTTGGGGGAGTTTCAAGTTAGGAACATACTGAATGGCTTTATTTACATAAATGATTATGTGCTGTGTATGCAGCAAAGTACTTAGTCCACGTACATATCTTAATTCCACCATCTTATTTATATGCTTACTACTATTCCAAGACCCTGAGAATTCTGCATCATATTGGATATAAATTTTGCAGGTTTTTCTGGCATTTCAGTAAAGAAGATTTGTCTAGCTCTAAGAATTGAGGCTTTTACTGACTACAGTATGAAAGCAAGTTACATAATTGGTCAATTGTGGCATTTGTTGTAATGTTTATTTCAGATTATTTTATTGCCCTAAATTTGTCGTTTTCATTGTGCTGCAGATTTATCTACGGGAGTAATCAAAACTTTTGATACCCACACATGCATTGGAGATATTTCCGGGCTTTGGCCTCAACTATATATACAACTTGCACTAGTTCACCTAAAGAAAATTTATGAATGAATTTAACTAAAACAGATTATAAAACAACTTAATAGTTCCCACATAGGAGTCTGCATTAATTAAGGATTATGGTTTACAAACTTATTGTAACTTCAGTGGTGCAAAATTTTTGTTCAGATGAAGCCTTATGTTGGGAATTTTGCATTTTGGTTTATATTTCAAATTTTCTTCCATGATATCTAAACTTAATCCATTGTTTGATGGAAAGCTATGATTACTCAGTTCACTTCTACGGCAGATCTCACTGCTATTTGAATGCATGGGGTCTTCACTATGTACCCAGCAGGTTTTATTTAATACATGGAATACTTTAGATTCAGTCTTTATGAATCGATAGCATAACAGGATCCTAAAATAGATGCGAATTCCCATCCTTCTGAGATGTCAGACTTTTTTTTCTTACCTTTTGAGAGAGGGCATGTGCAAGTAATTTTTAAAGCATAACTTTAAGATTGTAGTCAAAGGATAAGTCCAAAGAAATAAACCACATTGTACTGTGACAAACGTAGCACCATTTTCAGTGTCAAGTGCAGTCCTTACAATAGTAGACACACATGTCGCTATAGTGACAAGTATCAGATTGGCAATTGAATTTTGTCACTCTGGCTTAGTTTGGCCTCTCACAGATGCCTGGATTGTATTTTCAGTCCTATTTCAAGAACTCAGAAAGACTATGGAAGGCAGCAATCAACACTGTAAGGCGAAGAAATCAGGCAACATCTCTGACATCCCAGCAACTGATTCTAGACATTGGTCACCCTCAGTCCCGGAAGAGAGTAAGTTATGAGCACTTATGTGAATCCTAGAGAGTGCCAAGCATTTGCTCTGTTGAATTATGGAAAGGAACTGGGAGCTGAGTAGACATTGAGGAAGGTAGTGTAATTTAATGGAAATAAAAGTGCCTCACTCTGACTTCCATTGCAAGTCTGGGCTGTGATCTTGCAGGGTAGCACTTTGAAGAATAGCAAGTGAGTGATTCTCTGTGCTAATATTAACTGTCTTGGTTTTAGATCTGATTGGTCTGAAATCCAGTTTGCTACTATCAATTTTGACTTTCCTGTTTCTCTCTTTAGAAATGGAATACCCAGCTGATTTTGCCTGCTTGCACCATGGACACAAACAAGATAACTAGGAGCAAAGCGATTATCCATGCTGATATCCTCAGTCACAGTGAATCTTTCCCAGTGGAGGAGCTGCAAACTTTCTCCCAGCTCTTAAAGAACATCCACCGCCTGGAGGTGCGTGGTATGAAGGCCTCAGCATGAGCATATGTAATCTTAAAGGTGACCAAGGGATATAGATCAATAAGCGTATGTCTATAGTGCAGAGGAAGATCGAAGTTGCCACTGTCGATCTTCCAGGGTTCAAATTAGCAGGTCTAGTTAAGACACCTAATTCGAACTGAGAGGGGTGCTCCAGTCAATGCTGATATGGAAGGAGGACTGAGGAGTAATGGAAGTAGAAGAAAGACTGTGCTCCCTTCAACTTCTTGCAGTGTAGACAGCGCCAAAAGCCGAGTTAAGGTACTTCTACTTCAGTTACGCAATTAACATAGCTGAATTTGCGTATTGCTTATCTTAATTCGACTTTGTCCCATAGTGAAGATGTACCCTAACTTATTTATTGGGGAATAGATGTATGTGTTACTCAACTCCAAAGAGATGTACTGTATGAAAACCTGGGACCTGTGTATTCCCTGGTGTAGAGGGATTGGATGCTTCTGACAGTATCAGCTTTGTTTTGGCATCTTTCAGAAGCAAGACTCTTGGTTTCTCTTTCAGTTTCCTTCCCAGATGGGCTCAGTGCTAAGGAACTCCCTGCTGCTTCACTACATGAATTGCGTCAAAGATGAATCGATCTACTTGAGGCTCTACTATTGGATGGGCCAGACTCTTCAAGAAGGTAGGAAATTAACATTACCAAGTATAGTAGGAGGAAAAGGGATGTCTTTGAAGCTGTAAGGGTACTTAGCTGTACAAGCATATGTTATTGCCATTGAAGATATGCCATTATCTTTGATGACAGATGGATTTAGATAATGGCATACATTTTTAGTCTACAGATGATACCAGGATCCAAAGAGGGATAATTTTGAATAATAATGTATCTTGGCAAATTGAAGAAATGGTCAGAGGTCAATAGTAGGAATGTTAAAAAGCAGGTAATTGTAACCGCTGAAAATCTCAGCACTTATACGCACCTGCAGCAGGATGGCAGCTGCTGCGCTGCCAACTAAACCCACTCCCGGGGTGGGGGAGCAGCATCCAGCTTGCCAGGAGCTGGTGTGTGCCAGGGGGCCACTTTTAAAGCAAAAAGAGTCAGTGTGACACTGTTGCCCCCAAAAAAGCAAACCTCATTCTGAGATGTATGAACAGGAGTATTGTAAGCAAGGCACAAGCAGTAATTCTTCCATTCTGCTCTGTGCTGATTGAGGCCTCAACTGGAGTACTGTGCCCAGGACTGGGCATCATTTTTCAGGAAAAGGTGGACAGATAGGAGAGCTTCTAGAGCAGTGTTTCCCAAACTATGGGCTGCGGCCAAGTACCAGGCCGCGGGAAAAAAATACCGGGTCTCAGCATGGCTGCCGGGAGAGGAGCGGGGTGGGGCGGGCTGGGAGGAGGTGTGTGTGGGGGGGAAACCTGCTGCCGGGAAGCAGGGTTGGGGGTAGTGGGGCTGTCCGGTGGAGATCGGGGCAGGCAGGCGGTGGAAGCAGGGCTGGACGGGGGCAGCGGGGCTAGGCCGGGAGGTTGGGACAAGAAGC